AGCCAGGCATGGAGGCACACTGGAGGAGTGGAGACAGATCCTGGGGTGTCTGTCTTCTTGGGGGCTTATGGGCCAGCCAGGCTAGCTGAAATAGTCAGCTCCAGGAATAATGAGAGGCCTTATCTCAAAAAATATGCTGGGCGGTGTTGAGGCACACCTTTAATTCTAGCACTCGAGGCAGAGGCAGGCGGATCTCTAAGTTCAAGGCCACCTGGTCCACCAAATGAGTTCTAGGACAGCCAGGGCTACACAGAGAAATCCTGTTTTGAAAAACAAAACAAAGCCCGGCAGTGGTGGCGCATGCCTTTAATCTCAGCATTCGAGAGGCAGAGGCAGGTGGATCTCTGTGAGTTCAAGGCCAGCCTGGTCTACAGAGTGAGTTCCAGGACAGGCACCAAAACTACACAGAGAAACCCTGTCTTGAAAAACAAAACAAAACAAAAAAAAAAAAAAAAAACAGAACAAACAAACAAAAGAGGACGGCAGTCGGGCATGGTGGCACACGTCTTTAATCTTACATTCAGGAGGCAGAGGCAGGGGAATCTCTGGAAGTTCTAGGCCAGACAGGCCTACATAGTAAGATCCTGTCTTAAACCACCAAAAAATGTAGAGAAACAAATGGGAAAGACATCCTGCTGCCCTCTACACGTCCCCTGTCTGCACACACACATGCCTACCCATGCCTATACTGTGAGGCTGTGATGACAGAGTCAGGGAAGGCCTTCTAGAAGTCACCCAGTGGGTGAGCATACCAAAGAGTTTGGATTCACACGGGTTTCTCAAGTGATGGGTGTCTCTTCCTTCTTTTAGATAGCGCTCTACGCTTCCTAAGTTGCATCCTTCTGCCTTCAAGGAGATACACAAAACATTTTGTTTGTTTGTTCGATGTTTTTGAGACAGGGTCTCACTGGGTAGCCCTGGCTGTCCTGAAACTGGACATGAAGCCAGACCAGGCTGGCTTCAAACTCGCAGAGATCTCCCTGCCTCTGCCTCCTGAATGCTGGGATTAAAGGGGTGTGCCATCACACCTGGCCTTACCTGACACCTTTTGCCTAAATCATCAGATCTAAAGGGTCAGGGAATTAAGAGCACTGGCTGCCCTTCCAGCACCTGCTTGGAGGCCAGTAGTCCCCTGCAACTCCAGTCCCTCTTCTGACTTCCACAGGCACTGCATACATGTGCACAAACATACATGCAGGCAAAACACTTATACACATTAACATATGTATATAATTATATATATATATTATATATATAATTTGGAAGGATGGACATGCGGCTCAGCCCAGTGCTTTCCTAGCATACATGAAGCCCTGGATTTGAGCCCTGGCATTGTATGAACCAAACAGGGTGATACATGCCTGTAATGCCAGCATTTAGGAAGAAGAAGCAGGAAGATCAGAAGTTCAAGGCCATACCTAGACTACCTAGGGCCTTGTCTTAAAAAAAAAAATGAATCACAAGATGGATAACGTCTGGGACCTTCTCAGGCCTGATGTTTCTTGTCTCTCCAAAACAGTGTGGGGGGATGGGCAAGAGGAGCAAGGGAGACGGAAGGCATGGGGGAGTTTCTCCTGTGGGCAGGTTTCATTGCTGGCTCCCACATCCAGCAATACCAATAAAATTGATGATAATAATTAAGACTGTATAATCACCGTGTGTTTGTTTATTCCTTTCCCTGGCTCCCATCATTACCAATTCCATCCTCATAGTTGGTGGGTGTTAACTGTGCTCTAATAAAAAGCAGTAACTGCCTGTGTGTCCACCCCCACACCCTGGGGTAGCTTGGCTTGCACCCTTACCTCAAGGCAGCAGAGGTGGGGGAGGGCACTGATCTCCCGATTTTCAGAAGGAACAACTGAGTCAGGAGGCAGATGTCACAAAGGAAGAGACCCCCTGTGTAAAAAACCAGTTTTCCCTCTGTGGAGCTCCCTCTCTTCTTGTGGGAGGGCTCACCCCATCAGGGAAACTTCTTCAGGTCCACGTCCCCTCCCAAGGCCACTTGTCGCTGGCTGCTGCTGATTCCTAAGAAAATTGACCATGCCACACATTTGGCCACTGACCAGCAATAAGTACCACTGAGTAACATTGGGCCATTTACTTCCCTGAGAACATTTCTTAAATGTTAAAAAAAAAAAAAAAAAAAAAAAAAAAAAAAAAAAAAAGATCTTTGCAAAGATTGAGACCATGAGTAAACTCAGAGAAGCTTCTTCTTGTAGTAGACAGTTGACACAGACCCACAATTGGACAACACACAGAGGGTGAGAGGCTTTGGAGTACTCAGAGCTAAATAGGCTGTCTATGTCACAGCCCTCTCGGGATCTCTACAGAAGCCGGCACAGGAAGGGTGTAAGAACCGGAGGCGGTGGTAGATGCCTTCAAGGACACAGTGTTCTCCAGATACAGTGTGGGAAGATGCAGGTACGAACTCACAGAGACGGTGGCAGTGTGCACAAGATCTGCACAAGCTCGAGCCAGGGTGAAATCCCAGCACAGAGGAGGGGATATGGGCACCAAGTCCCACCCCTAGTCAAGAAGCTATTCAAAATTGACACCTACTGAGAGAGGGAAAAAAATCAGTTTTCTCCAATAGAGTGCCACTGGGTATATCAACCACTCCAGGCCAGGTCCCATGCTCAGGAGTAATGGGCCCAACACAAATCAGACTCCATGGTTTTGTTTTGGGGTGTGCATGTGTGTGTGTGTGTGTGTGTGTAGGTTTTTGTTTTATTAAAAAAAGATATATATATATATAGATATAGAGATAGATAGATAGATATTTTTTATTTTTTATTTTTTGCCAGGCAGTGGTGATGCACACCTTTAATCCCAGCACTCGGGAGGCAGAGGCAGGTAGATCTCTGTGATTTCCAAGCCAGCCTGGTCTACAAAGTGAATTCCAGGACAGCCAGGGTTACACAGAGAAATCCTGTCTTGGGGCTGGGGTGGTGGGGTGGTGGTGGTTCTCACATAACATACCCCTCTACTCCTCCAGGTTTCTTCCCCTCCCCTCCCACCTAGAGCTATTCTCTTTCTGACTCTCAATTGAAAACGGCCGGGCGGTGGTGGCGCACGCCTTTAATCCCAGCACTCGGGAGGCAGAGCCAGGCGGATCTCTGTGAGTTCGAGGCCAGCCTGGTCTCCAAAGCGAGTTCCAGGAAAGGCGCAAAGCTACACAGAGAAACCCTGTCTCAAAAAAAAAAAAAAAAAAAAAAAAAAAAACGAAAAAAAAAAAAACGAAAAAAAAAACGAAAACAAACAGGTTTCGAATGGATCATAATAAAATAAAATATAACGTCATAAGATAAGTCAAAACCACATTGGAATTGGACAGAACAAACAGAAGGAAAAGAGCCTGAGAGACGGCACAAGAAACAGAGACCCCCTGGTTCACACACTCAGGAATCCCATAAAAACACTACATTGGCAGCCACAGTAAAGATGCAGAGGACCTGGTGCAGATTCATGGTGCATTCAGACCCTGTGCATGCTGCCTCAGTCTCTGTGGGTTCATATGAGCATCCACCATGCTGGATGGCCTTGCTTTACCTGGTGTCCTCCATCCCCTCTGGCTCCTACACTCTCTTTGCCTCCTCTTCCATGGGGTTGCCTGAACCCTGAAGGGAGGGATTTTGATGGAGACCTGTCCTTTAGAGCTGAGTGTTACAAAGTTTCTCACTCTCTGCATAATGTCTGGCTGTGGGTCTCTGTTCCCATCTGCTGCAGGAGGAAGCTTCTCCTTGGAGTCATGTTCGTGTGTTTTAAGAGAGAGAAGGGACAAGAAGCAGGGTGAATAGGGAGAGAGCATCTGGGAGAAGGTGGGGGATGGTAAAGAGTGTGATCAAAATACATTGTATGGAATTCTCAAAGAATAAATAAAAACATTTTAAAGCTGGGTGGTGGTGGCACAGGCCTTTAATCCCAGCCCAGAGGCAGGCAGATCTCTGAGTTCAAGGGCAGCCTGGTCTACAGAGTGAGTTCCAGAACAGTCAAGACTACACAGAGAGACCCTGACTGAAAAAACAAACAAACAAACAAACAAACAAAAAAAAAACCCATAACAAATAAAAAGCCAAAAACTGTCTCAAAAACCAAGATAATAATAATGATGACGATGATTATAATAATGATAATAATAAAATACCCAAATTTTGTCAAATGTTATACCTCCCCAGTGTGACCAACCTCATAAGAAGTAGCTTTAATAACCCCATCATTTCACACAACAAAAAATACATGAGCACAAAAGCACGACACAAAACGGCAAGTGTTGATTTTAGAATTTTCTGTGATATTTGTATCCTTGATTCAGAAACGGGTGGAATTTCCAACTTCTGGTAAAGAAGACATGGGTGAGTCTGGATCTCCACTCAGTCTCTCAAGACACTGGGGTCAGACTGCCCAGATGTATGGATCTTGGAAAGCTGCTTTAGAGAGAGAAGTGGACCCCTGAGGTCCACTGTTGGGAGGATGACTCCTGGACCGCACTCTTGACCACTACTAGGATGATGGGATCAGCCACAGTGCAATTTGGTTTTTTCCTTTTTTTTGATGTTTCGAGACAGCGTTTCTCTGTGTAGCTCTGGCAGTCCTGGAACTCACTCTGTAGACCAGGCTGGCCTTGAACTCCACTTGCCTCTGCCTGGGATTAAAGGCGTGCACCACCACCACCCGGCTTGTTTTTTCCTTCATTCTGAATTTCTTTCCTTTTGTTTGCGACAGTGACAGTGTCATGACACATCTGTAGCCCAGCCTGGACTGGTAATTCTCCTGCCTCAGCCTCGAGGGTTCATGTGTGCGCCACCACATCCAGTTAGGAGTCCGGGTTGTTTTTGTTCCTCTCTATCTTTCCGTTGTGACTTTCCACCTGCTAAACTTTAAGACCTGCAACACTATTCGACCTGTGGCCCCACCTCCGAGATGCGAGGAGCATCGCCGCTTTAAGGGACTGGCCTTTTGTGTCCATGACCTCGCCCCGCCCCTCTGAAGGCTTCGTTGCGCCTGCGCCTCGAGCTTGAGCACTGGGGTTGGGCAGAACCAGGTTCCGTGCAACTTTCAAGTTGAGTTACAAACTCCGCCCCGGACACTGCTGCAGGTGGTCAGCCACCCCGGGACCCCGGAGGTCCGTGAGAGCGAAGATCGGGACCTGCCACCCTGACCCGGGACTAGCAGCGGCGCCCTCAACAGGCGAGCGCGCGGATCTCCGCGGCAGGAATTGTCGGACTGATTGCTCGGCGCGGGGCGGAGGAACGCGCCCGCCCTCCCCGCTCCCAAGTCGGTTTCCTCTTCAAGGCCCCACGTCCACTGGTTCCGGGTTCTCCAGGCTCCTCGCACTGTGGGGTAGGAGTCAGGGGTGGTGGTCTCTGCCTGCACCGAGGGACAGGTGTACTGCAGCGCCACTCGGCCCCTTGCCCCAGCTCCTGAGTGAGCGTCCCTCCGGTTGTCTCTTGGGATCATCTCCAAGGCTGTCAGGATGGTGTCCTGGATGATCTGTCGCCTGGTGGTGTGAGTATGGCCCCTGTGAGACTCCCTCTGATCCCTGGTCCCAGCCTGCCTTTGGGGTGGAAACTGGGAACGTTTGGTAAAGAAGAGAATTTTCTGAACTCCATCGGCCTTTCCCCAACACACGCTTAACGGTCCTGGAGCTCTGAAGTGGGACCTGGTCACTGAATGCCTTGTTCTCAACCCGCATCCTTCTGGACTGATTGGGGACCCTTCCTACATGCGCACACACTGCAGACAGGTGCAGGCAGGGCTCAGGCCTTGCCACCCACAGCCCAGTGAGAAGGTGATAGGCGCTGCTGTGGGCGGAGAATCCAGATGCCTCCCTCCCATCTGAGCAGCCCCATGACCCACTACCCCTAGCTTCAGTCTCTGAAGTCTACCCCTCACTTTTGGATAGTCCCACACCTGGCTCAAATGTCTCTCGCGGCATCCCGGTGGCCTTGGTCCTGATTGCGTGTAGTGGGAGGGGACAGCTTGGTGCTCTCACCCACCTTGTTGTGTGTTCTCAGCCTGTCCTGTACCCATGGGCCACCAGTGCAGGCCTGAGCAGGCTTGGGATGTTTGTAAACAGCCGGGTGGGGAGGCAGCCTCCAGGGCACTGACTCAGGCACCTTGGTTGTGCAAGCCAAGCGGGAAAAACAGGGCAGGCACTGCCACCACGCATCCAGGTTGGGGGAATCAGCCACCTGGCAGGGAGAGGGTGGGGCATGGTGCCCCTCACACTTCCTATGGCTGCTATTCCAGGCTCATATTTGGGATGCTGTATCCTGCATATGCTTCCTACAAGGCTGTGAAGAGCAAGAACATTCGAGAATATGTGAGTGTAAAGGGTTGGTGGGAAAGCTTAGCTAATGTGATTAACCTTGAGGAGTCGTCAGGAAGGGGTTGGTAAGACTTGGTGATATGGGAGGGCCTTGAAGACTCCAGGGGCCCGGTGGTGTGGCCGATCTTGGGTAGAGTGGTCAAGTGAGTGTGGAAGGAGGGTGAGCCATTAGCATGCCCATGGAGGATCTTGTGGGTGAAGCATGCTGGGGTGGGCACTGGAATGAAGGGCAGTTTCTCAGGGGCTCCTGCCTAAGCAGACACGGGGAAATGCAGCAATGCAGTGGGACTGGCTCTCAGGAATCTCTGGGCTGGGCCAGCCGGGGGCGGGCCTTGGCACCTCAGGCTCCCAAGCTGAGCTCTGTGCACTCTGACCCACAGGTCCGGTGGATGATGTACTGGATTGTCTTTGCCATCTTCATGGCCACAGAGACCTTCACGGACGTCTTCATTTCCTGGTTTGGCATGAGGATCGGCAGGCCATGGGTTGGGAAGGCCTACCCCACTACCTGGCTCCTGGCTCACATACACTCCCCTCCTGCTCCCCCAGGTTCCCTTTTTACTATGAGATCAAGATGGCCTTCGTGCTGTGGCTGCTCTCGCCTTACACCAAGGGGGCCAGCCTGCTTTACCGAAAGTTTGTCCACCCGTCCCTATCCCGCCATGAGAAGGTACCCCTGGGGGAGATGGAGGATTAACACAGAAGGGTGTATCGGGGAGAGGGTGTCGGACAGAGCCCTGTGTCTCAGGTTCAGGGAGCCTGAGATGCCTGGGTCCAGTTTCCTGTCCCACTTCAGTTTTGCTATGGGACTGGGAAAGGGGTTGGCTTTCCTCATCTACCTGGATGATACATATGAATGAACTTTAGGGGTGTGACATGCCAGCAGGAAGTTGATGTGGGCATGGAAACATGGAGGGGACGGACACTCACTGAGGTGTGGAGTGGGTGTGTGGGTGGGGAACCCTGCTCTTAGTTTTGGTTCTGAGCCTATGTCTGTGGCTCCTGGGCCCTAGGTAGGAGCGGGCTAGGGATTGTGACAACCAGTGGCTTCTTGGGGTCTGCAAGGAAAAGGCTCCTTTGTTGATCCGAGCTCTCCACTCTGGGTCTGCAGGAGATTGATGCGTGCATTGTGCAGGCGAAGGAGCGCAGCTACGAGACCATGCTCAGTTTCGGGAAGCGGGGCCTCAACATCGCCGCCTCTGCTGCTGTGCAGGCTGCTACCAAGGTGCTTGGGGCCCCCCGGGGCTCACCACTGAGCCAGTTCAGTTCTGAATCTTGTGCCCCAGTGATTAGCTGCCGACCAGCTTCCCTGCTAAGCCCCTTCGCCTGTAAGCCCTCTTCCGCAGTTAACACAGTGCCTCCCATCTCTCACCTCCTAGAGTCAGGGTGCTCTAGCTGGAAGGCTACGGAGCTTCTCCATGCAGGACCTCCGCTCCATCCCTGACACCTCTGCTCCCACCTACCAAGATCCCCTCTACCTGGAAGACGAGGTGCCCCGACGCAGGCCCCCGATTGGTAAGCGGAAAGAGAAACCAGAGCCGACCTGAGGTCTGCCTCTCTGAGGGCTAGAGGGACGGCGGGAGTGGCCGGCCCCAGGCTTGTGGAAATGTTCAGCGTTGTCCTCCCTGGCCTCTCTTCCACAGGGTACCGGCCAGGTGGCCTGCGAGATAGTGACACAGAGGATGAGTGTTGGTCAGACAATGAGGTAGTCCCCCAGCCACCTGTCCGGCCCCGAGAGAAGCCTCTGAGCCGCAGCCAAAGCCTTCGGGTGGTCAAGAGGAAGCCACTGGTGCGAGAGGTCAGTGTGTTGGGAGGACGGTGTGAGGGTGTGAGGGACGTCGGTTGAGCTGCCACGCTCACTCCATTCACGGTGTATTTATTGGCTTTCTCTCCCTAAGGGCACATCGCGCTCCCTGAAGGTCCGAACCCGGAAAAAGACAATGCCCTCGGACCTGGACAGCTAGATTCTGCGGTCAGGCTGTCTTACCTCTCAAGCCAGCAGGGGACCTTTTGCTGCTACACCGGTTGCCTGGGCTTCGCCCTTTCTGGCTTCTGCAGCTGCCTAAGAGGGGGGGCACACATGGTGTGGTACCCGGCATAGGGATGCACCTACAGTATACCAAAGCAGGCCAAGCCCAGGGGCCTATTTATTGCCTTCTTCAGCCTTTTCCCTTTGCAGACATGGGACCAGAGCCCCCACTAGGCCCTACAGATGAAATCCAAAGTCCAACCAATTGTGTTCATTCCCTTCTACTTCAAAGTACTTGACAGCCTTTTCTAAGGCCTGGTGTGCGTGTGTGTGTTCTGGCTGTGTGTTTCACGTTGGTGAGTGAGGTTAGGCTTGTGAATATTTTTATAAATAAATACCTAACGGTGTTTGGCTTCCCGGATCTGTCTCTTCACTGCTCACCTCTCATATTGTAACTAGCAGCCCACTGCAGGCTCTGGCAGAAGGGTGAAGGGCAAGACTACCAGATCTCTGTGCTTAAGAGGGGAGGCCACCAATAAACAGTCACAACAACAAGGAGTCAGGCTGGAGCCTTTGATCCCAACAAAGCGGGGTGGGGGGGGGATCTCTGAGTTCAGGTCCAGCATGGTCTACATAGCAAGTTCCAGGACTAGAGAGACCATGTCTTAAAAGAAAAGAGTCAGACTTTTTTTTTTTTTTTTTGGTTTTTCAAGACAGGGTTTCTCTGTGTAGCTTTGCGCCGTTCCTGGAACTCACTTTGTAGACCAGGCTGGCCTCGAACTCACAGAGATCCACCTGGCTCTGCCTCCCGAGTGCTGGGATTAAAGGCGTGCGCCACCACTGCCTGGCAAGAGTCAGACTCTTGGAGAGGACTTAGAGTCAGGAGTCAGTGCTGGCCCTTACAGGAAGAGGCAAAGGTATGGAGAGGGTGTGGAGACTGCACAGAGCAAACCTGGGAAGACAGGCTAGGTCTGCCATGAACCTGGAGGGTCCTCAGTTCTGTAAACCTGTTCTGTAAACATTCAGGTGTAATCAGGGTGAATTTGCACTCTAAGCCACTAGAGGGCAGCAGCTGCCTGGGGCCAAGCTGCCCCCACCTTCCAGGTCAAGGTGGGCGGGGCTCGGAGACTGGCCAAAGCCTCGCCCTGCTGGGGCCTGGCTGCTGATGGGGCAGGCCAAAGGAACGATGCCGAACCCAGCAGGGCCAATGATAGCCCTTCTCTGCTGCTAGTGGCTGATCTGTGGCCTGCTCCATCTACAGAGACCCAGGCTCTTGCCCTGCACTGGCTCTAATCCATCTCCTCTGATGCCTGGGTCATCTGCCCCTGATGTTGGAGTGACATGGTGCCCTGGGGTGATCCCTCCCCACACTCCATCTGCCCTTCTCTCCCACTTCAGAGTAAAGAGGTGGATGAGAATGCTGGTTGGAGGAAAGATATGAGCTGCTAAATTGGAGTAGCCTGTGAGGATTAACTCTTGGTGTGGGGATTATCTGGGTTTTATTGGAGGGAAGGCATTTAATCTGTGTGGCTGATTTAGCCTCTCTCGGATTGGGATTCAGTGGCTTCCTCATGGCATTCTCTCTCATTGTGATGCTGATTTACCACCTCATTAATTCACTCAGAAGATGTGTTGCTAGATAGTGTAGGGGTGAGAAGACGAGGAAGTCGGTACTATTATTATAATCCCCATTTCCCAAATAGGCGCATAAAGGGCAAATGATGTGCCCAAGGTGGCCCAGCTACTAAGTGGCAGGATTGGGCTTTGGACCAGGCAGTCTGGCTCCAGAGTTGATGTACTTAATCACTATTCAGTAAATGGGCTGTTCCTTGCCTGGGAGGCAGGGAGAAGGAGCCTGGCATGTATGGAATATTCGCTGCATGCCTGACCTTGTTGCTGGGCTTTTCGCAGAGATGGTTCCCTTGCATTCTCTCAAATGAGCCCATGCCCATTTTATGGGCGAAACAGCTCTCTGCTCTACAGTAGTACTGCCTGGCAGGTGGGCAAAGTCGGTCCTCCTGGAAGATCAGCCGAAGCCAGGGTCCCCAGGCTCTGCAAAGCCCAGGCCTGTATTTTACCATCTCGGCTCGCTCTTCCCTGCCCGACTTTGCCCTATGCAGATTTATACTCCTACCCCAGCCCAGATGTCCGAACCCTCCGCAGGCATGCCTCTGCCTTGCCTTGCTCACCGGGCGTGCCTCCCATGGCTGTTCATGAAGAGATTCTGTTTCCATCTTGAGTACGTCATAATGTTTTGTCCCTCCTCAGTCGTGACTTCAGAACCAGCCTTATTTTACTGTTGTATCCCAGCCCAGAATAAGTGGTTGAGGTATTTTTAGAACTGTGGGGTTTGGTGGTAATTGTCTGACTTCTGAGCTCAAACATCACCCCGTCCTCGTCCTCTGGGAAGCCTCTTTAACTCCCCAGCACAGGATTAGAAGTCATTTGCCGTCATGTGTGTGTCTCCAGGAGTGGCTCCTAGCCTCAGCCCAAGGCCAGACACCTCAGAGGCCTGAAGGAGGGTTGCAGCTGAACCACCACATACATCAGTGTCTTCACCCTCTTCAGGGTGGGAATGAACTTGTGCTTCGGTGTCTGTACCCTATGTCACCTCAGTTCCGCCACACAGATTTCAAACCACCTGCGTCTCTGATACGGCTTGATGAATGGCTGGCTAAAATTGTGTGACTACCAAGGCATCCTGAGGCCACACAGGAAGAAGTGAGCAGAAGTCCCAAGTTGTAGGCTGTTCTGAGCAAGCATACATGTGAGCCTGAGACTTGGGGCACTGGGTATCATAGGGGCATACCTCAGAGCTGCTCCGCCTCTCTGAGAACCGCCCAGGCATACTCCCAACCCAGCACTGGAGAGGGTCCCTGGCCCACCACTGATCCTCTGGCCTGGCCTCTCAAGGGGGAGGTGGGAGTTAAGCCATGTTGTTGCCTTCCAAGGGCCGCCAACCTACTTGATACCACAGTGCCTGGTCTCCTCGGGTAGGATCGAGGTTGGAAAGGACCTGACTCCATGAAGGCCAGTCCCTAGAACCCTTTCTGTGGGTCCTGGTCCTGTTCCCACAGCCTTCCCCACCCTTCCTGGCCTGTTACCTGCTTCCCTCTCTCCCTTCTGTCTCCCTCCGCCTCACCTCCTGCCTCTGTCACCGCCTCCATCACTGTCCCTCTGACCTGTGGCCCTTCTCTGTTCCAACCCCCAGGAACCCACGGCTGTATTTTTAGCTACTGTTCTCAGCAGCATACTAAGCCTCTAGATCGCACATGTAACCCTGGCCCAGGCTGAGTTGGGGGGTCCTGGGAGGTGCTGTCTCCACTGGCGGGGATTCAGGGCATAACTGCTTAGGTCCTTGTCCCTATTTCTCACCCAGCATCTGGGATTGGGGCGCACAAACAGGTGATCTTCATCTCACAAGGCTGGTGCCTAGGGCTGGGGGGATCCTGGGGGCAGAGCTGACATTGCTGGGCACACAAGTCCCCAAGCTCAGCCTGAAACACATTGGAAGCTAGATGGCGGTGGGGGAGGGCTAGAGAGAAGGAGGGCTCCAGAAGAGGAATTAGGTCAACGATGTGGGTGGGTGGGCCAGAGGAGAGGATAGCATCTACCACCGAGCTTCCTCCTGGCTCCAGCAGCATCTCCACACTTCCCTTCCCTGTCCCCTCCCCCTGGTCCTGGGAGATTTCTCCCGGTATCCCCCCCCCCCCGACTGCTCCACCGTGTCCCCCACCTCAGGCATGGCCACGGGGGTGGGGGTGGGGTGGGGGGAGGCCAGCCTCAGCTGTCTGAAGGATGGAGGGGCTGGGGAAGCAGGGCTAGGTGCCCAGACGGCCGCGTGTGTGGGAGGGGATGTCCTCAGATGCCCTCCACCCGGCAGTCCCCGCTCTGACGTGTGTGCCCCCCCTCTCCCCGCCCGGATTAGTGGCAGCTTGGCCTGACTCTCCGGGGCTCCTTCCCCCTCCCTGCCTGCTGCCCACCCCTGGGCAGGGGGCTACTCTGCCTGAGAGGCACTGTGCTTGCCCAGGTAAGGGGCTCTGGGGTGGAGAAAGGGCAGCCGGCTGGCTGCGAGTGAGGCTGTGCCTGTCAGCACGAGTGTATGTGTGTGTGTTAGCATGTATGTCAGTGAGGGAGGTGTCGGTGCGGGGCTGGGGCTGGACCCACGAGAGTCTGGGGGTGCTGGTCAGCTTGCTAGGTCCATGGTCTGGTTTTGTGACCACACAGCGGGTGGCTTTCCCCTCTGTGTTTGTGTCTTTTCTGTGTGTCCTCAGGCTGCTCCATCCTCAGGCACAGCACAGCCAGCTACAAGGACTCTGGCCTGTGCCATAGGCTCTCATGGAAGGGATGGGGAAAGTGGTGGGATGCGGGTGGTACTCCCGCCCCCCCCCCCCAACCTTCATCTCCACTAAACATTCCAGAAGACTGCCCTGGGAGCTCTGGTCTAGTCCAGGCAATATAATCTGACAGGCAGATATGGCAGCTGGGGGTGTAGGGGTGAGGATCTGTTCAGCTCCCCTGAGACAGTCCCGACTACCTTAGGGGAAGACAGCCACAGGCCCTTGGGACTCTGGACAGCCCAAGCTTCTCCTCTGGCCTCTTCCAGGCTTCAAGCCACAGGACTTTCCCCAAGACAACGACTCTCCCACAGGCCCCGGCTAAGGTAGGCCAGAGGCTTAGACAGGGACCACAGGTACATCCCAGCCCAGCACCTTGCCCAGGAGCCAGGCTCGGGGCTGGAGGCCAGGCTGAAGCCTTGGGGCTCCAGTCCCGGTTAGACCCTCCTTATTCATCTCCCATAGCACACTGGGGTCAGGCCACCTCCAAGGGAGTGGATAAGAAGAGGACTATGAAAAACTCAATCAAGTAAACAATCCCTGCCAGCCTGCCCCCACCAGACTTCGCCTCTGTGAAGGTGAGGGGCTAGGAAGATTTGTGCCAATAAGGCCTAAGTCTGAACAGTTTCCACTGTACGGATCTCCTCTCCCAAGTACCCATCCTGTCCTCAACAGTTGGTGAAAGGCTCCTTGCCTTCACCCTTGTCCCTTGGGAGAGAAAGACCGTTGTACCCCTCTTCAGCGATGGTGGTATGACTTGGGACCAGGTTGTGGCCACCAAA